TTAGTAGTAATTTCACTGCCAAAGTAAGAGAGAGCTAAAAATTACTTAGGAATAGAAATCTGTTATTAATTACGTTAAAGGAACATGAGATATCTGTAATTTCTGAGGCAACCAGGGCTTAAATTTCAAATAGACATGTAATAGTATAACAACATATCTACTTCTAGTAGCAATATTTAAAATATGAATCCAACTCTGAAAGATATTAATAGTATAGATCTTTATTGTAGGTTTCCTTGACTTAGACATTTCACAAAGAAAAAAAGTTCTTGTCAAACCTATAATACCCAACTCTCTACCTCTTCAAAGTTTCTTACATAGAGGCAAGAAAGACCATCTCCTTCTCCCTTACCTATGAATCCCCTCACTGTCATATTGCTTCCCACTATACTACCTCTTTCTGGTCATATTGTTCATATCTCACACTCTCAAGAGGCCCTTTTGCCCATATACAGTGCCCTGGCCAAAAAATAAAAGTAACATAAACATAGTTTTCATTCTTTGCATTGTATCGCTAAGCTAACTTCAACACCAGTCCAACTGAAATATACATCAAAATATTTTATAATAAAAATCAGGCAGTTCTTTGCTTCTTTTTGTAACAGATTTATCTTTTTATAAATATCAAAAAGATATTCACATCTAATAAGATAGCGTCAACTAAAGTTAATGTCAAAACTTTAATGTGATCGTCCTTGAGCTTGACACTTGCCAGATGAGAAAAATGGTTACCTGATTATATTTTCTCAGTTTCAAACAGCAGAAAATGTCTGTTCAGATTGTAAGAACATTAAATAATATCACTACTTAATTTGATGGCAAAATGTTCTAGTACTAAGACTCTTCTCTAGAAAGTGTTGGAAAACACAGTTTATGACTGGGGATACATTGTATTTGCATATATTTGCAACCGTTTTACTAATAGTAAAATGTGTATTTTTTTAACAAAATGTTGCCAACATGTGTTTCTATTGTTGCTGTTTTTAAGTCCCATCAAGTCGGTTTCAACTCATAATGATCCTGTATAGGGTTTCTGAGGAGCTGCTGGTGAGTTTGAATTGCCAATCTTTCAGTGTTTATCTTACAGTGCCATACTAGGATTCCAACTTTCTATTGTAAAGGAGTTTATTTTTCATATTATGGTGTGTGGTGTCATAGTTAGCACTGGACCTCAAGGTCAGTTTGAACCGCAAGGTTGACCCTACACAGGGTTGCTATGACTTGGAACTGACTTGGAACAACTGTATAAATGTTGTTGTTGTTGTTAAGTGCCATCGAGTCGGTTCTGACCCATAGCGACCCTGTACAGGGTTTCCAAGGCTGTAAATCTTTACGGGAGCAGAAAGCCTTATCTTTCGCCTGCAGAACAGCTGGTAGTTTCGAACTGCTGACCTTGCTGTTTGCAGCACAATTCGTAACCACTACGCTACAAAGAGTTTACCAGCACAGTATACTAATAAAAATTTGAGCCAGCCAGTTAAAATCAAGAAATTTCCCAATAAAATGTGGATTTCTAGGAAATCCTGAAAAATAAGGTGGGTGACCACACTGGGCAATATCCAGATTACAATCTCTACCCTCCTAATGTCTTGCAGTTAACCCATTGCACTTGTCATTACCTCCTGCTTGGGCCCTGTAGACATTTGAGTTTGCAACTCCTGTCAGAGAAGATAATGAAAACAGCTGAGGAGGGGTGTAGGGAAAGCAAAGAAATGCTGAAAACCGGAATGATTTTTTTTCCCAAAGAAAGTATCCAAGCAATACAGTGGAAAGAGCAGAGTTTGATACCAAAGATCTGAGTTAGGGCCCCATATCTTTTTGTACTGAATAACTGTGTGATGTGGGATGAGTAGATATAGAAGAGTATGCAACAGTATGGAGCATTGCTCAGTATTTATTATTCAGAAAAAAATAACTAGTAAACATAATTGCAATGATCACAACTGTAAAGGTAGAAGTTTTGTAACATAAAGTGGGAAGTAGTTAATCTTAGGAGTCCTGGTATGGTGCTGTGGGTTAATGCGCTAGACTGCAAGGTTGGTGGTTCAAGCTCACCAGCTGCTCTTCAAAAACCCTTTACAGGGTCGCTATGGGTCGGAACCAACTCAACAGCACTCAACAACAACAGTTAATATTACATTCCAGGAACAGAGGACCCTAGGACCATCAAGGGATAAGAGCATGAGTGGAATATGGGACCTTAACCAGAGAAGCTGTGTCACCAGAGATGGAGGCAGAGATGATGCTATGGAGAGAGGGAGCATCTGAGGACTCTAGACTAATGAAAAGAGAAAGGCTGTGTGCTGGCAGCCAGGAGGCTGGCTTAACCAGAGGGAGTAGAAGCAAATACTGTTAAATGATAATGCCTGGAGGGGATTGTAATCATTGCAATGAAATGAAATATGATAGGATGAGTGTAAAACTGATGTTCTCCCATGTAAACAAACTATCACTCAATTAACAATAAAACTTTATTATAAAGGACTAGTAAACAATAAGTAAAGTATGATTCCATTTTGTATATGTGTAAGAAAAAAAGACTAGAAAAAATATACAGAAAAAGTGTTCACAGTGGCTATTTATGGGTGGTATGAATCAAGAGTTGCTTTCTTTG